ATATGCTAATTCAACCTTGGCAGACTCCACTATTATCTATTTACAGGTTAATTTTTTTTAGCCTGTAGCTAAAGGACCAAAGTGAGGACCTGAGAAGATAGTTCAAAGTTTTTGACACACAAGCGTGTGGACCTAATTCAAGCCCTTAAGGCCCACATTTTAAAAAGATGGCTGAGTGTGTTGGCACACACCTTTAATCCCAGCACTCTGGAGGTGGAGGCAGGCGGATCTCTGAGTTCAAGGCTAGCCTGGTCTACATAGTGAGTTCCAGGCCAGCTCCACTACAAGGAGACCATCTCAAAAAAAATAAATAATTATGGTGATGTGTGCTTGTAATGAAGGTGGAGACAGGTGGATTCCTCGTTGGTCAGTCAGCCTAGCCATATTGGCTATTTCCAAGCTAATGAGAAACCCTGCCCTAAAAGATAAGGTGAATAGCACCTAAGGAACGACACCTGAGGTTGAACTCTGACCTCCACATACACATACATACATGGACACATACCTGCACACTTATGTGCACTCGAATACATATGACCAAAGTCAGAGCCTGCAGAACAATAAAAGATCATAGCCCTCTGTTTTTCTATGTAGAGGAGAAAAGTGTAGTCTATGTGGTGTTTCACCTGTCCCCTGCCCCAAGAGGACCAGGGAAGTCAGACAGAGCCTGCATTGGGGCCTCTGCCAGCCCCTCAGCAATCCCAAAGGAGTTTGGGTTTGAAAGCCTGGGAAATCAGCAGAACTCCCTGCACCCGAATCACCTTATGCCTCATTAGTTGTGTCCATAAACTGGGTATTGTGGCACTTGCCTGTAATCCTAGCACACAGGAGCTGAGACAGGAGGATTACCATGAGTTCTAAGGCTTACCTGGAATATGTAGTGAGAGCTTGTCCACAACTTAGTTTTTTAAAAAATGTTCAAGGGACTGGAGAGATGGCTCAGCAGTTAAGAGTACTGGCTGCTCTTGCAGAAGACCCGGGTTTAGTTGCCAAAACCCACATGGTGACTAACAACCATCAATAACACCAACTTCAAAGAATCTGACACCCTCTACTGGCCTCCACGGGCACTGCATGCACATGTGCTCTTACAAACATGCAGACAAAAACAGTTATATACATAAAATAAAGTAATAAATTAAAAAAAAAAAAACTTTAAATGTCCAAGAAAAGACTAACCATGTTACAACCCCTGAGAGTAAGGACAATAAAGATCAATGATATTTTCTCCTCAGGCTCATTCAAAAGTGTGGCACACCTACAACAGAGACTTCCGCCCTCATCAGAAAGGTTGGCTGTCCATCACGTTGGGATCCCATTGGATAGAACCAAACAGGTCAGAAAACATGATGGACGTAATCAAGTGCCAACAATCCATGGTTTCTGTGCTTGGATGGTTCGCCAACCCCATCCATGGGGACGGTGACTACCCAGAGGTCATGAAGAAGAAATTGCTATCCATTCTACCCCCGTTCTCAGAGGCAGAGAAGGAGGAAGTGAGGGGCACGGCTGACTTCTTTGCCTTTTCCTTTGGGCCCAACAATTTCAAGCCCCTGAACACCATGGCAAAAATGGGACAAAATGTGTCACTCAACTTAAGACAAGTGCTGAACTGGATTAAACTGGAATATGATGACCCTCGGATCTTGATTGCTGAAAATGGCTGGTTCACAGACAGTTATGTAAAGACAGAGGACACCACAGCCATCTACATGATGAAGAATTTCCTCAACCAGGTTCTTCAAGGTTGGTTGCATATTAGCTCAAAATTTTTTAACTATTGAATCTTTATAGGACAGTTAAAGTCACCTTTGAATACGTGATTATTGATGTTGGGTTTTGCATTGTCTAATATTGACAACGTTTTGTTTGTTTGTTTGTTTGTTTGTTTGAGATAACGTCTCAACCTGGCCTTGAACTCCTGATCCTTCTGTCTTCATTTCCTAAGTACTAGGATTGCAGGCATGCACCACCATGCCCAACTGTTTCATTTTTTTCTAAAGGACACAGTGCCAGAGCAGATATGGATTATGTTTTGTTTTGTTTTGTTTCATTTTTGAGACAGGCTCTCACTATACAGCCCGGGCTGACCTGAATCTCGCTATGTAGACCAGAATGGCCTTAAATTCACAGAAATCCACCTGTCTCTGCCTCCTGAGTGCTGGGATTAAAGATGTGTGCCAGCATGCCCAACCAAAGATATGTTTAAAGTTTCCTACCAGGAGTCCTTTATTCTATGACACTTCCTGAAATACTGATGCTTTTATCTGTAACATGATCAAATGTTGAAAGGCCTAAAGACAAGGCTGAGCAATTCCTATTCCCTTAGAGATGTCTTCCTACCCTACACAGTCCCTGGTTCCTTTTCTACTGCTCGGGTAGTGACATCTACAGGTGGCTACTGGAAACAAGCTAGCCCAAGACAGCTCAGGTGATGATGGTTGTGTCCCCATTAGAGGTGGGCTCCATTTTCACCTGAACATAAAGGAATTCCTGTGGATCCTTGTACAGTTATTAAAGTCCCAACTGCAAAGGAAAATCCCAGATCCTGCAGAAAAGAAAGTCTGGGGAGGAGAGGGAGAGAGAGGGAGAGAGAGCAGGTGCTCAGCCCACTCCCACTGCCCCAGACTTCAAGAAGGAACATGGAGGGCAGCCATAGCCAGCCAGGGGGCACATGAACAAGGGGCCTTGGAGGATACCACCTACAGGTCCCTGGATAAAGATCCATGCACTTAGACAGAAGGGGTGTCCATTCCAACTTTTCTCACAACCTCACAACATAAGGGACCAGAGCCAGGGCCTGTTGAAACATATTTGTCTTTTTGGAATATTTCATCATTGATTTATGCCCCACATGATTCACTGTCTTTTTAATTAAGATTTTCTACCTTTTTAAAAGTCAGGGGCAGAACTTGGTGGCACACACCTTTAATCCCAGCACTCAGGAGGCCCAGGTACGGGGGAATCTCTGTAAGAGTGAAGTCAGCCTGGTCTACATAGCAAGTTGCAGGCAGCTGGGGCTACAGGGAGACCCTGTCTCAAAAAAAAAAGTCAGGAGCTGGAGAAATGACTCAGCAGATAAGAACACTGGCTGCTCTTACAGGAGACCGGGGTTCGGTTCCCAGCACCAACATGGCAGCTAACAACCTTGTATAACTCCAGTTCCAGGGGATTCAATGTCCTCTTCTGATCTCCACAGGCATTGCATGACATGGGTGTACTTACATGCAGGCAAAACACTCATACACAAAAATATTTAAATAATCATAATAAGCCGGGCGTGATGGCACACGCCTTTAATCCCAGCACTTGTGAGGCAGAGGCAGGCAGATCTCTGTGAGTTCAAGGTCAGCCTGGTCTACATAGTGAGTTCCAGGACAGCTGGGGCTACAGGGAGACCTGTCTCAAAAAGACAAAAAAAAAAAAAAGTCAAAATAGCTGGGCATGGTGGGTGCACAGCTTTAATCCCAGCACTTGGGAGGCAGAAGCAAGCAGATGTCTGTGAGATTGAGGTCAGCCTGGTCTACATAGTGAGTTCCAGGCCAGCTGGGGATATAGGGAGACCCTGTCTCAAAAAACCAAAAACCAACCAACCAACAAATATAATAACAATAATAATAATGTCAGTGATAAGCTCCCAAAGTACAGAACTGAGGCATTTCTATGAAAGAAATGAAAACTTTTAAGAAAAATAATTCAGTGCTAATTTAAGTATTTGTTTTAACTGCTGCTGCTGACTTTCACACTTCATTTTTACCCAAACTATTCAGTCAACGTTTTAAGGGTAGAAAGGTTCATAGAGATAATGTTTTCTAATATTTTCTGTTTTCAAACTGAGGTCCAGAAATTTGCCCATAGCAGCCTCCAGGGAATACAGCAGACCCTGGCCCTTCAGCCCAACCATGCCTTCCAGCACGTAGCTCTGTCCACTCATTCCCCTTATATTCACTTAAATTCTTTCTAACAGCTGATATTTTAGTCCCTGCAGGACGGTTTCATAGAATGTATAGTTGTGCACAAATAGGAACCAATTCAAACTCAGAATGAGAAACCCTAGGTCAGTAGTCAACATCTGTATTGGTTCCAAAAGGCACTGAAAATTACCGTGCCCCCAACACAGATTTGCATACTAGGTATTACAAATATTTTATTTTAGGATTTTTTTGTGGTCTTTTTGAGACAGGGTCTCCCTGTAGCCCTAGCTGTCCTGGAACTCACTATGTAGACCAGGCTGGACTTGAACTCACAGAGATCCACCTGCCTCTGCCTCCCAAGTGCTGGGATTAAAGACATGCGCCACCACGCCTGGTGATTTATTTTTTAATTGTGTGTGTGTGTGTGTCTTGTTGCCCATGGAGGACAGAGGTGTTGGATCCCCCAGAGATGGCGTCACATTGGCTGTGGGTGCTGAGAATGGAGCTGAGGTCCTCAAGAAGGAAGATGCGAGTTTTTAGTCATCTCTCCAGCCCCCATCAGGAATATTTTAAATCAGATCCTTCAGCTGTTATTTCTTTGTGTGGGGATTGATAGGGGTATGCATTCTAGTTATTTATTTATTTATTTATTTATTTATTTATTTATTTATTTATTTATTTATTTATTTATTGGGGGGAGGCTGCATATGCCACAGCATCTATAGAAGTCAGAGGACAACTTGCAGGGATCGTTCTCTCCTTCCTTCCACCAGGTAGGTCCCAGACTCAAGTTGCCACGCTTGGCAGCAGACGCCTTTACCCTTTAAGCCAGCTCACCAGTCCCAAACTACGCATTTTCTATTTGAAAGAAGGGACCTACAATTTAGGAAAAAAAGTTGCTTTTGCAATATGCTATGCCCTGGCACATTAGCAAAACTATAAACGTGAACTCAAATGTTTAGCCTCTGAATATCTGTTTCCTTTTCTCTGTGCAGCAATAAAGTTTGATGAAATTGGAGTGTTTGGTTATTCAGCCTGGTCTCTTCTGGATGGCTTTGAATGGCAGGAGGCCTACACTACCCGCCGAGGATTGTTTTATGTGGATTTTAATAGTGAGCAAAAAGAAAGAAAACCCAAGTCCTCCGCACATTACTATAAACAGATCATAAAAGAAAATGGTTTCACTTTGAAAGAGTCCACACCAGATCTGCAGGGTCATTTTCCCTGTGACTTTGCCTGGGGAGTTACTGAATCTGTTCTTAAGGTAAGTAGCTCCTTCCAAATTAGCCACAAACTGTGGGAGATAGGACACTATAACTTTTTTAATCGGGTGTTTTGCCTACATGTATGTAAGTGCACTACATGGAAACTTGGTGCCTGTGGAACCAGAAGAGGGCATCAGTTCTCCTGGAACTGGAATTAAAACAGTTCTGAGCCCCATGTGGGTGCTGGGAACCAAAACCAGGTCCTCTGCAAGAGCAGCCAGTGCTCTTAAATGCTGAGCCCCCATGATATCTTTTTAAATGTTTTATTATACATCACAATGGGTTTCATTGACATTTTCATACATGTGCATAATGTATTTTAATCATTTTCACACACACCTGTTACCCTCTCTTGTCCTCCTCCCACTAATCCCCTTTCTCTTCCCAACTAGCCTCCCTTTTACTTTTATGTCTATCATTCATTTTCTTTCTTTCTTTGTTTTGTCATTGTTGTTGTTTGGCAGGGGTGGGTATGGATGAGAGTTTGTTTATAGGAGCCTGGGCACCTTACCAGTGACACACCACTAAAGAAAATGTCTCTTTCTCCCCCATCAACCATTAACTGCAGAGAAATTTTCAGGAAGAGGTGAGACCTCAGGAGTACCTCCTCCATTCCATGACAGGATCTTGTGCAGATCTTGAGTACACAGTATCTTGATTCATTTATTCAGTGATAGTTGTGAGTCAAGAACCAGAAGTAAGCAACATAGAATTCCATGGTTGTTTGGAGGTGGTGAAGGGCAGTTGGGGAATGAGGAAGAGGAATGGGGAGTTATTAATGCTTATATAGTTGCCACCAAAGGTCAGATATACTGACTTGGTGATAGAAATGAAGTGGCTGCCTTCAAGAAGTGCACAGTTCAGAAGAAACCTGTGATCAGTTTGAGACATTTGTTCAGAGTGTCAAAATTATAAACTTTTTAAATGATTTTTGGCTAAAAGCAAATTATTGGCCTGAGTTCGTTTTTTTTCTCTCTCTCCTCTCTCTCCCCCATATACATATAGATAGATATAGATATATAAATATATAGATATGTGTGTGTATTTGTATGTATCCCAACACACTTTCCTTATTTATTGATCACCTGTCTCCCCCTACTAGAATAAGATATGGCAGGATGAAGGCAGGGGTGTTTGAGGCATTGCTGCCTGCTCCATGTCTTTAATAGAGCAGTCATAGGTAATCATCTCTCAGAACCAGGTGAATGGAACTTGGCATGTGGCACAGGCCTGTAATTCTAGCACTTAGGAGGCAGAAAACATTGCCTAAGCTACATAGTAACTTAAAGTCCAGTTTGGACTATATTTCAAGCCAGCCAGGGCTACATAGTGATTATCTTATCATAAGCAAAAAGTAATTAGTAAATACATGAATAAATAAAATTTTAAATGGAAATAGAGCTGGTGATATGGCTCAGTGGTAAAGTACTTACCTAGCATGCATGAGACGCTAGGCTCAATTTCCACTAACACACACACATACACACATACACACACACACACACACACACACACACACACACACACTGAATGAATGACATCATGAATGAGACACCCTATTCAATAGTCCTCACATTACAGGTGAGGAGAAACCTATCAATTTGCCCAGGGTGACACAAGCAGTCTGCAAGTCAATATACACCATGCCCTTTCCCAAATAGTAATACCTTTAAATTTTAAAAAAATTGATTTATTGTATGTCTGTCTGTCCATCTGTGTCTGCCATGGAACACCTGTGGAGGTCAAAGGACAACCTTCAGAAATAGGAAAACCAGCCGGGTGTGGTGGCGCATGCCTGTAGTCCCAGGACTTGGGAGGCAGAGGCAGGCGATCTCTGTGAGTTCAAGGCCAGCCTGGTCTACATAGTGAGTTGGGAGATCCTGTCTCAAAAAGACCAAAAAAAAAAAAAAAAAAAAAAAAAAAACAGGAAAACCTCAAGTTGGGGGGGGG